TAATAATTTATAGATTATTATATAAATGAATGTTTACAATTAAATAAAATAATATACGATTAAAATAGTAATGAAATTCACGACAAAAATGATACAGATCATAAAAAAAATATTTTTTTATGTTAGCAATTTAACGCAATATTTATAATTTCACGCATAATGAATAAAATCACTTTTCATAAGTATATGAATAATGATGCTGAAGTATTTAAACTATTGATTAGGGGATCGCTCTTTTGTTCAATGTCGCAGAAGTCGAAAACTCCAAACAATACAGTACAATGAATCACAATTTATTCTTTCCTTGAAAGGTATTTTAATGATTCAAAATTTCATCGGAAATAGATCATATTTTAATCGAAATAAAGTAATAAAAAAAATAGGAGAGAATAAGAAAAATAAGAATAAAACTGTATTTTTAATTCAATAATGTAGTCATAAGTTATGATACTTTAAATGTTTATAATTCATATTTTAATTGCCTGGTTCTAATAGTGATCCCTAGCTATTCTTGCCCAAGAGAAAGATTAGCAGCAAATTATTAGTAATGTCTGTACATAGATTTTTATTTTATAATAGAATTTTTCACTATATGAACGATAATTTTTCTTTATCTTGAATTGATACTAATGGTTTAATACGATTTTGGAACTTTCGATACTTGCAATATTGGAGAAAATGCTATACATGTGCAGAGAAAAAGAATAAGGCATTTATGATGGCACATATTTTTACTATATGGGAATATCTTGGTTGACTTACAAGCATAATAATGGTCAGATGTTTACGAGTTTCTTTTTTGTCATCGTTACCCTGATATGTATGACCTATTTTATCGCTATGCTTTCTATAGTTATTTTATCTTTATTATTTGCAGCACGTATTTAACAATTAGTTCAGTAACTCCTTATTATTTGATTAAGAACGAAGAAATCCTTCGTTACAAACACTTAACAATATTTGAAAATGATTTGATAAGAATTATTGATTAATAATAAAAAAAGCATTTGTAATATTGCATCTTAATACTGATGATTTCGATAATTCGAAAGTGTAATATTATTGCTAATATAAAAATTAGATTAAATAAAATCGTTTTTATTTATCATTCAATTACTACTTTTCTTATATATTACTTTTATTTTAAAATATAAGCGAAGACATAAATTTAAATTAAAAAATAAGAAGTAAACAATATATGAAATGTGATGGCAAGGCATTTTATTTAAATAGTATACATAATCGTTAATATAATTAGTTTAAAAATGCCACTTAAAAGGAGATTAAAGTGGTACGATTTTACATAATCCTGCCTTACAATAAAGAAATAATAAGATATTGTTTTAAGTTGGTTTAGTACTGGCGACTATCCGTGGCGCTTGACAAGTGTTGGCTATTCTTAATTTACTAGTCGAAAACTTACATAAACATCTTATTGATGATCATTAGACTGCGCTCCAACCTCCGGCAGATTTTTATATCATAACAAGAGTCGCCTTTATATAACTACTTGCTATTATTAGTAATAACAGATTTTTAATTTAGAGTCAACAAACCTTTGATAAAAGTTCATATATTACTATTCTAAAGAACTATCGTTATTTTGTTAGCCGGATTGGGAGACATGGAACTATGTTTGTTAAGTATACGATTTAGTAATACGCGTGCTAAACAATGCTCGTTGGAAGCTAAGAGAGAGTAAAAATATTGAAACCAATGACCGGAAGGGGGCACCGGTGCAGTTGTGTGTAAATGCACGCGAATTGGGACGAATAACCTATTGTACGGTACAGATCTTGTAAAGAAGATAAGATCATGATTTATGTCGCGGTGGTGGTTTAAATTGTGATGAACAAATTCTTTGTCTTTAAGTTGAATTGCAATTCAACTATCTCATGATTTGTAATGTATAATATAAGAATTATAACTAATTTTAAGATAATTAATTTGGTTTCATATAGTGTTTTTTATTAAGAAATATATATTCGTATAAAATGGAAAAAAACTGCCTAGAATATAAAGTTTTTTGACATTTTCTAATGACATAAAGGATTTAGATTTCAGTAAACAGGGTTACGGAGTTTTTTATAAGTAAGCGGTATTAATACAATTGCACAACTTAATTTGAAGACGAACTATAAAAAAAACAATTAACATTATTTAAATTGTTTAAAAATAAACTTTTTAAAACTCAATAATAAAAAAATGCTGGTATGATAAACATAAAATTTTGACATTTTTAGCACTTACCATTTTTAACATAGGCTGGTTACGCAATATCTCAGCCATAAACAACCAAACGATGTTAGGCGTTTTTAACTTTCTATTATTTGGTTAAACATAATTATAATCAATTGTGGTAAAAATTCTGGCTGATTGAGATATGTTCCTTCATAAACTTTGTAATAAAACACTTTTGTGTACAAATAAGGATTGTGATATTCTGGTAACACGTGAGTGATAATTACAATATAATTATGTTTTATAACACGTAAATTATTTTAAGAAATATTTTGAATATAGTAATTTTGTTATTTGGTATTCAGTCACGTTATTATTGATTACTTTTATAATGTCGTGGATAACATTGAATAAAATGTACAGTACAATCAAAATACACCTTACCTGTAATTATTCAAATGTATTTGTGCATGCACACACATAGACAGGAACACAAAACAGAAATAAAGAAGGAGGAGGGGATAATAAGAAGAAAGAAGAATTAAGGACAGACAATTTAATAAAAGCATTGAAGTTTGGTAGTTACTTAGATAAAATAAATTAGACTATTTAGACTCAATAAACTATCAATCACTAGACTATTTAGTCTCCATTTAATATTCCAAAAAATATTATACCGTAATAATGCAATTGGAAGTCAATAGATAATCGAATCAGCGTTAACAGCCTATTATTTTGAATTTTTATCTATCATTTTGCGTTATAAAGATGAATAAGTTCATTAATAATTCGTTTATATTTCTTTTATAATTCTTGTTTCTTTGAATTTTATTTTTTTAATATTTCCTGCCTAAAACAATAAGTCACTATATTTATCTGCATTTATGGCTCAAAATTAATATAAACATGAGTGGACTAAACTTAAAGTACTGTATTTTAATCGTATTTATACATTTTTCTATCAATTATTATAATAAATATTTTATTCAAATAAGAATCTCGCTTCGACTTCTTATTTCGTTCTATCTCATAATTACATTACTTCTCGGAAGCACAAAATGAATTTTTATTTTTCACTTTAACATTCAGTATGGGCGAACTGACAGTCGCCGGTAACATTGGATATTCGCGTGATCCATTTCCCCCAATTCATTCAGATAAATCTTTCGGCTGATAGACTGATGTGTTATGGATAAGAGAACTCAATCCAATGCTTTGCCTACTTTACTACTTTCCTCTTTCTCTCTTTTCATAACCTTTGTCGTTCTACTTTTTATTTTCAGATTTTTATTAAATTAAGAGAAGGTTAGTTTTTGCGCGAATAGCAATTGCAAGATGTATGACAAAAAATTATGGTATTTGTATCGATATTATTTGTTGGCTGTTTCTTTTTATTTTTGTCTTAAAATTGGTGTTCATAATATTATTTTTAGATGAATATTGATTATTCTTTATTGCCGTTAATTTAGCTATTCTACTGCATTAGGGTGTATAATTGATTTACAATAAAAGTTAGAGAAATGAATAATCTAAATTTAAATATTTATTAATATTTATGAAATATCAACGTTAATAGCATTGACAATAGTGTTAATAAAAATGCTATTAATAATTTTATCAAATAATATGTATAGTTCGGTCTATATGTATATGAAAAAGATTTATTAAGCGTGCTGTTTTCATATGACGGTTTAGTTTTTTATTTTACATATATTTTTCTTTCATATCGACGCATAGTTTTCAATTATAATTCAAAGCTGTAAATATTACTTTTCTTTTTAAAATTAAAAAGTCTTGATAAAGAGTCATATATTGTTTATACCGTTAGCTAGTAACAAGATTTTATGTAAGTTTTTTCTCTAATCATTTATAGATGAATATGTATGCACATAAAAACGCCAATTTCTCCTAAGCTTTTTACCAGTGTTGTTTAATACATTCAATACATACCAAAAAACACCAAAAAACATATCCAAAAAAAACTGTATACTTTCGTATTCAGTGTATAACGACATTATTTATTAGAACTTTGTATCATTCAATAAATACGTATTACATTTTCACATATTTAAAAATATTTATCTCGCTTAAATTATACTTGTTAAGGCCCCTTTTGTTAATTAAAAATTTATATTTTTATTTAATTTCACATGAATAATAATCAATATTCATAATTCAGTAGTATTATTAAATTTAATTCGCTCTATTTAAGTATTTCGGACTAATACATAATGATAATTTTAATAATAATATTTAGAAATACCAATAATTTTTGTAAGAATCATCTAAAATAGTAACGCAGAATTGTGTGTTACCTCATAAGTATCATTTTAAAATCCGTTAAGTATTATAAGCGTGAAATTAATATTGAATTTGTCTATAATCATCGAAAATATAATTAAATTTGAACAATGCCTAACGTCATGTCAATTGTCAGATACTAAAAACTGAATGCAGTTCCAAAATATTCAATACGACGAATTCCATCATTAATTGGATTGTTTTACAATTAGCTTTCCTTTTTCGATAGTTTCTGATTAAGATCGAGAGTGAAATCTGTTCATCTTGCCTCTTGGCCAACTTAACTCACTCGCGTTAAAAGCGATAACACATTATAAACAAGCGAATAGAGAAAATTGAAGCTAAGAGCAATTACACTACTCGTTCGGTTATACATTACTGAAATGTTAATTGAAACAGTAATAACATTGGCGACATTGACGATATCTGCTTGTGCGAAGTAACAAAATCAAGTCTTTCAGTTATGGAGTATAAATAATAGATTCACTCAGTGTCAGCACCTAATCACTTCTCTTGATTTTTGACTCGCATTCAACGAAACAATGTAGCACAATCCTCACGAGTTTATGAACATAAAGGAACATTTAAGAAACTGAGCCTAGTGCATGATAAAGACCATGAGGAGAGTCAGAAGACTAGCAATGGTGAGTTCTTTGTGAGAGGAAAAGGAGTTGACCCCAGCTGTAATGGTTGGTAACTCAGGCGAGCTTCCATTTTCAAAATATTGATAGCTTTTCATGTTTACTCTAGCCATGATAGCCCTGAAGTTGGGTTTTTCAATATTGAGTGAGTTGTCAAGGAAAGTGTGCAGTCTATTGGTGATGCACCAGAGTTGATCTCTTTCGTCGAAAGCAAACGATGTAGGCCACTGCATCAGGTGATGGTCTCTGGAAATTATGCGCTGTCCAGTGACAAAGGATGGATTTTTCGAGTCCCACATAGAGACTGCATCATCGGCGAGAAGACCAAAATATAGAATGCCAGTGTTGGACATCATCATACCATCGGTTTGTGAGGGTTTTCTACCTAAAACGCGTATATACTGTCCAATGTTATCGCGCAAGCTTTCGCTTTTCAGAACTTTCGTCGGCACTGCGAATATATTAAAAGAGGACAATGGAGTGTAGTACAGGGTTCGATCTCCACTAGTATTTGCCGGCGATAGAGCAATACCATTGATAGGTGTAGATTGAGTTACACGAGTCTGCTCGATGATGAAACCGATTGCATCGGGCTTGGCCTTCATGGATTCGTGACTCACTTTCCAGGATGTATTATTTTGCAGTGAGAAGACTATAATACCTGGATTTTTATCGTCAGAATCAACTATATAAGCTATGCCACCATCCTCATGATCGATCACAATATCATTTAAGAAGGCGGATTCGGGATGAGCAACTTCTATCGGGAACGGATAGCTACGCAGTACCGAGCCTCTATTTTTTATATCGAGGATGACAAGTCTTGGTGAACAACTCGTGTTCATGTTGAAGGTCATAGTGGTACTTCTGCCGGTGTCCAGTACCCACATTCTGCCTTTTGGGTCGATCTCAATGCTTTGAACAAACTGGAAGGCACTGCAATCACCTATGCGTTGCATGTCCCAGTTAGGGTAGGGCTCCAGTTTTGGGGCCGTTTGCCCATTAATTGGTGTGGAAGAAGTCACAGCTAAGGTGACAGGAACTCCATTTCTGTATCGAGGTATTGTTAAATACATTTTGTCCTTCCACAGCTTAATTCCTGTGATAATATTATTTTTCTCCACATAAGACTCATCCTTGTCAGCTTTAAGATACGCTTCCTCCGAAGGCCAAGTGTAGTTTAGATAATTCCATTGGAATTGCACGATGAATGGTTCGTGGGCTATGGTCGTACTGACCAATGCCCCAAATATTATCAGGTACATGAGCATTGTAACGTGGTTAGAAACAAAAGAACTGTTAGGTACGGTTCCCGAGCACCGGACCGTATTTTTTCACTTGCTTCTTTGGCTCGATCGGTAACGGACTACACGTAAAGCACGCAAGGTGAAGAAAGAGCGAGCACGTATTATAGACGAGGCAACCACGCGCATACGACTTCTATTCTTAAACGTGCGGCTCCGACGAGCCAAGTGTTACTCAACGTTCGTGTGCGCTTCAGAAAAGCTACGATACTGGGCGCTCCTCTCCCTCCTCAACGGCCTCCTTGCCGTTCGAGGAGTAGTACGGGTGGGGGTGTTGAAGCAATCGCTGTCGTTCCCTCCTATACGGAATCCATGGCGCGCCACGTTCGCTATTTGACTGATGACGAGGTCATACATGCGCTTGGCGTTGTGGTTCTTTTAGTAACGTCATTCTCCCTCTTTGCCCTAACCGTCACGGGGAGTGTTTGAAGTCTGCAATCGCGTTAACGGGCTGTCAGACCGGAACCCGCCTGTGCGCACACGTTTATCCCTTCCTTCTTTTGCCGCGGGTTGCACGCGCCTCGTTGATGCCGTAAATTACTACGGATTACGGAATTTACAATGATCCCCTTACTAGGTCAGTTTCTTACTTTTTTTTATTTACCGCTAAAACCTTTCATTGATTTTTGCATCAGAAATTGTAAATATTAAACAGTAATTAGTAATCAGTTATCGATACTTAAGCAATTTTTTTGAGAAAGCAAGCGAAGTATGAAAGACCTAGTTTTATATTCTCTATATAGTTGTACATAAAACAAATCGTATAACAATTTTGTTTTAATTAAAGAAAATAGAAAAAGATTATAGTGAAACAAAAACAGTTATTCAATAATGGCTTTGCAAAAAAGCAAACAACTTAAATGTATGTAACTAAACACTTGCATAAATACCTGATTTGTCTACTAAAGTAATAGATGTAATTCAGTCGATTTTTTATTGAGAATTATGCAGTACCTGAAATTAATGTAACTATTATTATTAAAGAAAAAATGAAGATCGCTTAACCTGGTAGCACGCGTCACTAGTCGCCTTGATATTGTTGTTGTCTGTATAGAATCTGACTCGGAAGAAACGGAGGCGAAAAACAGGAAAAGAGAAAGAGAGCGATACGCGAATAAATCTACGAAGCTATGGCGGCACGCACATTGGAGATGACCTTGACGGACGGAATGGGAGTGACGATCAGCTGCTGCCGACTGGTATTTTTAAGGCCCTATCTAAGCTCGCGATGACATAAGCGAGCCGTTATGTGCACGGTCGATCATTATTTTCGCGCCTAAGTTCTTTGTGATCATTCTAGTGCAATACGGTTTGAGTTTCCACACCTTTTATTTTCAAAAAATAACGTAACGAATGAATTTCTTTCAAATTTCTAACAATTATAAGAATAAAGCAAATATTCAAAATACTTTATAAAAATTAAATATAATTAGATTACAATTATATATATAATATATCATTAAATTATTGTTTTATTTTATCATTTTATTACATTTTATTCATTTTGAAATTTCAATTGATTTATAGTCTTTTATAATACTTTAATTGATAGGTTTTTCCTAATATTACGTGCTATAGATTGTTTTTTAAGATTCATTTTACAAATCAATAAAACTTTTATATTACTTTTTCAATTGAAAAAATACATGTTTAAAACTTCATAAATTTAAAATTTTATTAAATTCTATATTGTTTTGTAGTCTATTAAACGATCATTATAACTATTATAATTGTACATTATTCCAATCTATAATTATTCTATATGATCTAATTATATAATTTATATATGTACTACTTATATCATTTTACTATTTGATCTAATTATTATACAACTTTTCATACCCGTGCTTTGAATTAATACTAACTATTTAATAATGGTCAACATATTTTATTTTAGAATTTTGACAAATATTTTAAAGTTTAATGAATGCGTTAGATATTATTTTGCTTTTCTTACTATTTTTTTTCTACTCTAGACCTTGATAAATAAATGCTAGCTAAATTATATTACGTTGTTTCTAAAATTAAATAATTTACATCTGCGTATTCAACAATGTATCACAGCTTGTAAATTTTTTATAAATAAATAAGTGGCGTGGTTACACTTACGTCACACACACACGTGCGCACGCACGCGGGCACACTTCTAGCATTTAAATTAAAATGTAAATGTGAATAAAAAAATATTAAACAATTTAATATTATGTACATACTATATAATGTTATAAAATTCGATTTACTAATAATTTACATATGTAAAATTGCACTTTAATCATGTTTTCAATGTTTATTTTGATAATTGTAAAAAAAGAAAAATAGTAATACAGAAGGATAAACATTCTATCTTGTTCTTAATTAAAATAGAATTTTAAATTCTAATAAATATCCTTGGTGCAATGCGCATCCACAATTAAAAAATTCAAAATAGCCGTCAACAAGTGCATGGCATGTATTATTCAAGAGAATATCGTTGTCAGACGTGTGATCTCATCAAATTACATATAGCTTCGGAAAACGACGCATTTTTTTCGCACGCGGGATACCATGAAGGACACGTTAGTTAATTTTTTGGATAGAGCATCACTATTTATCTGTACTTACATACTTACGAGATGTGTAAAATACAAGTGTTTACACCGCTTGTTATGACAGTGCTATTATGTAATTGTGGATGGGCCTCGTTTTTGTGCAAATAAGCTCGTGTTCCAAATCTTCTCCGCTTACTCAATTCATCTTGCAAAAGTTCTCGTATCTCGCAAAAATTCCAGGCCGAATGTCACGATACTTACTGCTGACAAGAAGTCGTATGTGTTTCATACATTATTACGTTTGAGTGTTGCATTTCGATTGAAATAAAAATAATAAATGATAAAAGAATCTTTTTCATATCGTAATTGTAATTTGGATAAAAACTCTTAATACCTGCAATTTATGTTTAATAATTTCTACTATTATGGGTGTAAAAAAATTAATGTGTCATAATTTTATCTATTTCATTGCGTTTAAAACAATATGGGCAAAATATTTCATATAAAATAGTTTAGAATCATTTTTATATATTTGCAATTTAATTTTTATTATATTTTGTAAAGTCGCATCATTCGTATATAATTGTTTATGGAATTATCTTCACTTTATGATAGTTTATAGATGAAAGTTTATAGATAATTTTGCAGAATCAAAAAATAATCAAAATTTTCATCACAATATATACCTTTAGTAGTTAAAATTTATAAGTTTAACTTTTAATTTTTACATTAGTTTTCAGCACATGAGCATAACATCGACGTTTTTAAAGTACTAATGATCTATTTATATTTATATCATCAAAAGCAATTATAGATTTATAACAAAAAGGCTATTGTTACATTTATCTAGAGAAATTTTGAAAGGGTAAGTATTGGATGTACTAGAAAATCAGAAAGGTCGGTCATTTTTATCGGGATCATAGTGGCAATTGGTACAACCTTGACAAATTTTTACAGTTGCGAGTCGACATCAATTTAACAAAACACCGCTTCCACATATTTTAGCTATTTCGTGTTGATCAAAATTATTAAATAAATTATTAATGATTATTAATAATGGATATTGAATGGAGAAAAAAGTGAAATTGAACTTGGTGGATTAGTTATTCAATACTTTTGTGAAAAAATATTCTTCCAACCAAGTGTAAAGAACAAGAGAAAAAGCTTGTATTTTAATCAACTTCCATTATAATTTTTGAAGTTTGAAATCGATCCTAAGAATAATTAGGCTTTAATACAGTTAAGTTCATAGTGAAATTTAAACTAATATAAAGTAGAATGATAATTCACATTGAATAATGCTTATATAGCTTACTTCACGTTTCTATTTCTGTATATTATGCTCAATTAAAAAAAATGTATTTTTGAAATTCATATAGATTTAATACATTCGTTAGAATCTATGTGATTGTGTTTATTTCGTAACTTTTCAGATTCTTGATTATGTAATATTCATCTAACTCAATTGATAATATAATATAAAGAACGAAGTAATATTAGTGATAAAGACACAATAGATCCGTAAGAAAAGTAATAGGAATCATTACATTACCACAAGAAAAAAATGATTTTCTACGATACTTCTTTTATATATACATTTACTGAATTAATAATAGATAAAAGTTTACTTGAATTATTATCGAAATGCATGGACAAAAATTAAAATAGATCAAATTTTATTCAACTTTTTAAAGTAAATTAATTTACTGTTCGAATTAATAAAATTCTAATCACGAGCAAATTTAACCAATGGACTAATGCATTCACAAAGTATTTTTATTGATTGAATTGTGTATGCTGAATAATAAGCACAAAAAGTAGAATTTTATAACGGTAATTTTTCTGTGATAATAATTTTGTAAGAAAAACATTAAATCCGAGAAAATTTTTATTCTAAAAGAAGTATTTATACAATGCATGCATTTATAAGTTAGAAAAGCTAGATGTAAAATTGGAATCATTAAATTTTATAATTAACGCATTTTGTTTAGATTGGTATATGATGCATACGGTCTATGCTATCACATGAAAAAAATTAATGCCAGAGGGCCAAGGCATATGAGATATAGTTTAATAAAGCGCCGCCACGGCGTCAATGAGAGTTAATTAAGTGCAAGCAGTTACGCTGACAACGTTGCGTGATATAACACGCCGAGGTACCACCTTTAACATCCAAGCCGTAAAGCGCATAATAAAATCGGATCAAATTAGAACAATGATAATGGCCTATGCGGAGAAAAATAAGTAATAATTGTTACCTTTAAATTCGTTTCATATAATTGTTCTTTCTTCCTTATTTTTTATTATTTTTTTTGTGTTTGTAACATTTTTTCTTTTTCTATAGACTCTCATTTCCTGCAGTAGTTAGATTATGTTATTAAAAAAAATAATCTTGTAAATACCTAGTATTTAATTAAACGGTCTATAATGCAATAATTTAATCTAACAATCTTATAAATTATGTAAAGTTAATGTGAGCGTAACCTTAAATTATCGCCTCTATACAAATGACGTGTCATGTGCATAATGACGGCAGTTTGGTTACTATACCTCTTATCTTTTAGCGATTTACAAATGGCTTAAGAAAACCATCATCTTATATGTACTATATGACTACATATTAGTTATAAATGACAAATTAAATGGTAAATTAAACAAGGGG